CTTCTCCACGCGACAAAATTTCTTCTCGCTTCGAATCACCGACATGTGGAACAGCCTCCCCGATGACATCGGTGGAGCTCCAAGTATGAACGCGTTCAAGAACAGACTAGATAAAGCTATGGAAAAATATATGTTCAGATTTGAAATGCCTAGCTCCTTATCGAACCCGGTGGAAGTCTAGTAGCTACTTCAAACTATCGCCAGTCATGAAAAGATCCGGTCAAATGACACGAGTTTAGATCTATGAACAAGGCACGAAAAGGAAAAGAATCGGCGACAGGCCACATCAGACCTACATTTCAGCGCCGACATCATTATGTTATGTTATGTTATGTTATGTTATTGCTGAGCTATTTCGCTCCTGTGAGAACCAAGACAAATGACCAATCCTCACCCCAATAACTTGCTCATTTATCTCTCATGTTATTGTTAACAATAGACGGAGTACTCATAAGCGTCTATACCAACTCGTACGTAAGTTTAATTAGCAGACTTAGAGTGGCGGTCCACCTTAACGTCGCATTCACAGCAACTCGCTTTGCTTTGCCTGCTGTCACTAACCGTGCGCATAATACATTCGTCGTCATTTGCTTACTTGTCAGCGATGCTAGCAACAGCTTCGCCGGGCCCTCAGTGGGGCCAGACCCAGTCCATTTGTACAGCCGATTATTGCTTGATTATTGTAACACATTAGTTGCCAGTGTAGCTACATGTTTTCCTACATTTTATAATGAAGGTTATTGCGTAAATAATTCATGCCTTAATACTGAGATACATATATGAATGACTCAGCAATGAGTGAAACTTAATTTGAATTTAAGGTCTAAAAGTATTAGTATCCGCATATAAAAATAATATTTCAGCAAACACAAGTATTGTAAATTTCTTATTTTAACCTCACCCATCCAAGAATCATGAAATGCAGAACATTCATATCTCGGAAACGCGTCAACTTAAATATATATATAGGCAGTTTTGGTGCGTACGTACGTTAATAACATAACATAACATATTGATCTCGGTGCTGAAGTGTAGGCCTGATGTGGCCTGTCGCCGATTCTTTTCCTTTTCGTGCCTTGTTCACAGAAGATCTAATATCGTGTCATTTGACCGGATCTTCTCATTGACTGACGATAGTTTGAAGTAGCTACTAAACTTCCACCGGGTTCGATATGGTGCTAGGCATTTCAAATCTGAACATATATTTTTCCATAGCTTTATCTAATCTGTTCCTGAACTCTTTCATACTTGGAGCGCCAACGATGTCATCGGGGAGTCTGTTCCACATGTCGGTGATTCGAAGCAAGAAGAAATGTTGTCGCGTGGAGAAGTTGCAGCGCAGTTTTTTTAGCTTCCAGCCGTGGCCCCTGGTGTTGGTTCTTGTTTCAAATTCTAGTAATCCTTCTGGGACCTTGTATAAACTATGAGTATACTTGTATACTTCAATGAGGTCCCCACGCAGACGTCGATAACTGAGGAAAGGTAATATCCCATGTTTCGATATTAACTGGGAGTATCACTGCATTTTTGATGGGTAAATCGAAGATCACTGCGGTACGCGATCAGAATAATGGTAAATAGCAAATTTTTAATTAGATTTAATTATCAATTGTCAAATGCAAATCCTGATAATATCTCGAAACATTTCCTTCTGATTGAAAACTTGAAATTTCAAGATAAATATGGGCCTCAACGGTAATGCTTCAATCTACGAACTTTTTTTAAAGCTATAGTTCTTCACACTCGAGGATTTTAGCCTCATGAAGGATTTAGCCTCATCGAGGATTTTAGCCTTATCACACTCGAGGATTTAGCCTTATCACACTTGAGGATTTTAGCCTTATCACACTCGAGGATTTTAGCCTTATCACACTCGAGGATTTTAGCCTTATCAGTGACGTTTTTTACCTTCCTTCCTGCCAGGCGAATGCGTGAAATGTGAATGACGTACTCAACGCCGAAGAACAGTGAGAGCTTACCGTGCGAGAATATTTGAACGTCGGTTAACGTGTAGCATCCATCCCTCAACGATACACAATCAGCTCTTCCAATTATTTACCAACGCAATCAATCAGCTCCTGGGAGTTGCAGGACTTCAGTAGGCTCTTAATCTCTACCAGATATTTAATGAAGAGTTTGAGAATAAACTCACTAGAATGGGTATGGAGCAATTATATTTCATTCTTCTTTCTAGTCGCCGTTCCGAGCTTCGCTGACGGCGAGGACGTCACCGCAGAGCAGAGTGCGATGCAAGTCTATTGCTTTGTCGAAAATAGTATCGTTTTAAGGTTCTCGTTAAAATGCAACTTTAAACTTTGTCGAGTTGTAAATTACCTAAGCTAAAACTAGCTATAAAACTATAATTTTCGTGCAATAAAAATGTCAATACTGCTTAAACTAATTGCCCGGCACCACTCTGACGATTTTGAGGCATTGGAGGCTCGCGGTTTCGGGACCAAACTTCAAGTCACTCGGCTAACAATCTTCAGTCTTCTCCTGCACCTCACCCCGCGACCAGCCATCCTGCGGCAATCGATTTTTCGTCAGTGTATTCTAAGACGCTATGACCGGAGTTCGTGTACTGCTTCGACGTCGCATGTGATGGGAGTCATGAGGTGCTAAGCTCTCCACGTCCGCATGTTCTCCAGAGCCTCAGTTAGACCCCTCGCTTGCATCAGCCGACTGCACCTGCTTCAGCCTCTCATGCCAGACAGTTTCAGAGACTGACATAGCTATACTCTGCCCTCTGACCTCAAACTAGAATAAAGGTGTTGGCTCTGCTCAATTTAGAAATATATACCATATTAGATATTTAATTTTAATTTATATCAACATATTTTTAATATAAATTTAATTCATTGCATGCTGCCATGCGATATATTTTCAATTGATAGATGGGCTGTGCCCTCCATATACATATTACTAAAAAGGGATAATTGACTTGAACCTACATTGAGCTTGGTCAATAATTGATAAATTGATAAATATGTGTATTATATATTTGGAACAATTAAACTGATAATGCTAATTTATACAGATAATAGATCTATATACAATATCTTGTTACTATTATGGAGATTTATGGTTTCAAGTACATATATAATTTTATTTGGCAGCACTGAGCTTAACCTCAGTACGTGCTGGCTGCAGATCTGGCACGTCGCGCGTTGGTCAGGAGCTTCCCGGACCAATATCCGTTCTCGCAGCCCTGCCAGGCTTCACACGCCTATGCATTATTAAATTTGCAGCTAACTAGAATAATATATATAAGATAAATTTAGGAAAGTAAACGTTGTTCCATTGCCATCTCTATCCATAGTGCGCACATTTTTCTTTAGGCTTCTTTCAGTTTCCGTGCTGGCACAGCGTGCATACCGGCAGCGTATTGAGACTTGATCAGAAGATAGATGAAACTGTTACGTATATTCATTTACGAAGGATTATTGTGCAAGATTTTTCGTTCTGCGGTCGCATTGAAATGGGTTTCTGTAGAAAGAAATATTATGCAATGCTGAAAATTATTTCATTACAATAATACTTTAAATGAAGTGATGTCATTGACAGGTGATGTCATTTATTCTGAACATTGGACGCGACATGAAATCAGTTACACAGGGCCAATTGTATTTTGAAATTTTATTGCAACTCCAGATGCTAGAAAAATCGACTTTAGATGTGTACATAGAGCGTGACATGCCTGCCCAGGGCAAACAGGATCTAGAAAAAAGTGTATTTCAAAACCCGGTTCAATTCAACAATCTAAAGTGGCTCAGACTTACCAAACGGTTTTCTGTTGCAATAGCTTTTCCGCTGAAACCCTTCAGTCTCTGCTAATGTATCAGAATTATAAATGAATTATTTATTCTATATTACATGAAGTTGATAAAGATAACCAGCAAACGTCTGCAATAAAATGCACAATAAAGCAGCACAGGAACTAGCTTTTCAACTCGAGAGTGCCGTGGGCAGTGCATGGTGCAAAAGTCTCTAGACCAAGCCTTCATTTCAATTTATTTGATCTCCCTTGTATAGATTGCAATACTGAATCTTGTGTTGATATACAGGGCCTACTAGACCTAAGTTCGCAATGCCGGTGTGTTCGCAAAAAAATTTAACTTTCTGCTTGATCTGACTGACCATGAAATACATAATCAGTCGTCATGAAACAATACCAATTTACACTGATTACTCCCTCTAATTTTTTCAAATTTCTCATGAAACCCGAAATTTTACCAATTTCACACCTTTCAAATAATTTTTTGCCATTGTCTCTACATAGCGAAAATAAATTCTGAATCCCAAGGGAAGCTCCTAACAGCTTTTTGTCTATGACCGGAGGCACACGCGCCTCCATGCAGACTTTGTTTATAATTCTACCTGAACCTGAGGACAGGGGGTCATTTACTAAGTGCGTGTAGGATAAGTAAGAAACCATTTGTCAAGAGATCTTATCTTAAATAACTTATCTTGGTGATGCATGAGAGTTTTATTAGTGGCATGATGCTAAGGCGTCGACCGTTAGGTCAAAGTAGCTGTAACGCGAGTTTAATTCCGGCTTACTTATTAGTTACTGGGGCTTTACTGAGGTTCCCAGCCCTTTTATAGAATCACGGCTTCCGCCCACTATTGAGCTCTTGTTCGCGTGATGTGTCGCGTGATGTCCAATTGTCCATGCTAACTCAGGCCTAGTACTTTTCCATCAATTTCTACCAAGTATGCTGAATATTACGTCTCATTAAAGATGATCTAATGCTGGAATATAATTGGAATGAATTGAATGAGACGGCTGAATGACACCGGACATATATGAAAACTCATTGTATATGAAAGTTTGAAGTTCAAAAGAAATCTTCGTATGACTGCAAGGTGGAATCAAAATTAGATCTTGCACTTTTAAAGTTGAAAACTAATAAAAGGTGGTAGTCTACTTATCTTATCAGTGACGGCAAGTCAGCGTTTTCATGAGCTCGCCGCATTAGTAGCGATGATAAGTCCGTGCTTACTGCAAGTCCCTCATACTCTTGTTCCATAAACGCGCACCATGAATTCACCAACTGAAAAAGATGAACTTCAGGACTTTGAGTTGGAATATTACGAACAGGTAAACAGAGTAATAAAGAAATAAAACGCTAACACCTCTAATTTACTGAAGGTATAACATGGCGTGCTTGAGACAGACATGTTATCAAACGTTCCACAATAATCCTGCGCTCTGAAATATTTTTGAATTTTGGTACAATTGGATAGAAAAGAGCAAGAAGACCGTAAGACTTTTATTGAAGACCGTAAAGGAGAGCACTCGAGGTGGCCAGAGGCATATTGGCAAACACTTTGGCATATTGTTGTAGGAGCTATACACACAACAGTAACAATCACTTGGATCAGTATAGTTAAAGGAATTAGTAGTTAAATATCTCAATATTTGAATTCAAAGTAATTATTCAATGTTACGAGGTTAGATAAGTCTCTCGATCCTCACCGTAATAACGTGGTTACTGTGCAATCATTCAGGAGTGTTCAAGTATAGAGAACAAGCAGCGAGGGTTTAACATCCAAGGTGTTAAGTTGAAGTGTGAGGATCCTTATCTGGCAATAACGAACAAAGAAATAAGAAATATAATCAAATAATTGGTTTCGTCTAGAACGCACAGTATTCAAATATAACAGCAAAATCCGAGCAATAAATAAAATGCCTTCTTACGTATTCGCTTTCTTACAAGGAAATTATAGAAAATAGTTCTCATGGAGAGCTATTACACTAAAATAAAGGAAAACAGTTGGAGGTGTGTCATTTGTGTTAAAGTTAGAGGCATGCAACGCATGCATGTTAATATTACGCTTGAAGCCAAGCACTTAAATAACAAATGCTACACGGAGCCAAAAACACAACGGAGTTAAGCACACTGCCTAAATTTTACAACAAGTACAGTTCCGAATTTAACCGAATTTACACCAGGGGTGCAAACGTGGAACTTAATTAAAGAACTCAACAAAATGTGAACATATTTTCAGACGCTCTAAATCAGTAGCAGAAGAGCAATATTTAATTAAACGCAAGTCCCAAATGGAGTATATACGCAAAGCCGTAAGAATGATCCGAAGATAATCCAATTAAGCTGAAGATCCACGATCTCGCCTCGTATGATGAAACTATCGACAAGCGTATGAATAAGGTTCAACGTAAACTAACAATAAATTTTAATAATATTCTAAATTTTTAAACGTATCGAATACAGAATACTTTTATACCGAAAACCCGATAAAATTTATAGTCGTTCTCCTGTGTTGTAGGATCAGGTCATGTTGCCCGTGTGGAAAATATTTGTGTCTTACATTCGCGTGACTGGAATAACAAACGGGAAAATCAACTTCGCATGTGTTTTATAAATATCTTTCAAGGTATCGATTTTTTCACGAAGCTTTTTCAAAGTGAATAGCTTCTACAATTTTTATTAACATATCATTGGTCAATTGAGAATTTGGTTCTGAGATCATTTTGTGTGGGTTGGACAGCATTTTTGATCCTGATTTCAAAACTGGCTCTTTTGTCTTTAGTGCGTCTAGGTTTTGATATATTCGCATTCTTGGGAGAAATATATTTGATAACTATAAATGTATATGTAATTTACATCGATTCATTATTGTTTGACCATTAACAGATGGATTTCACGGACCAGCACCCATCAACAATGGATAGGAACGTTGACCAACTACAGATAGATTTCACCGACCCGCAACCATCAAGAAAGGATAAAAACGGCGAGCGTAAAGTGACAGGAGGAAGAAAACCAGTGCAGCTTTCTGCGGTGCAGTGCAGAAAGCAGTGCAATTTTCTGCACTGCTTTAAAATAAGCTGCATCATCATCCTGACAACCTGTGTAGTGTTACTCTACCTCAACAGTGTTAGTACTTCTCTCCCACCACCACGATGCATTTCCATGTTGCTCATGTTGAAATTTTTACGTGTTTATAAAATCGTTGTATATCGTTGTATATCTGGTCGGAATACAAAAATCGCCGGGTTTAGAAAATGTAGAAAGATTTTTATATAGTGTGATCACATACCCATAAATTTCAATGCCCATTCAACCAATAATTTGGGTCAATTTAAGAAACGCCGCATACATGAATTGGCTAACAATGACTTAAAGTAAACTAATTTATTATTATAACTTGCAGAAGAAGCAGATGAGTCCAGCGGAAGAAAGCGCTGAAATTGTGAGTATTAGTTTGCAGTTGTGTCTTGTCACCTTAAAGATGTGAACCATGACTATATATAGTTAGCGTTCAACTTATTCCTTGATTCTTTGATTAAGATTAGTATGGTAAGTGGTTCTGGTATAAGGTTATGGGATATGGTTCTGGTATATGGCACTTTGGCATATTGTTGTAAGGTACATGGCTAAATGGTATATGGTTATACCATATACCCTCCAATTAGTGCAGGGTCATCAATATTTAGCGTTACAACTTTGAGTGGTTAGAACTATGAAATGTAACACAATTGTGAATGTTTGAAAATGTATTTATGTAGGCAGAGGTTCAGAGATACAGTTCCCACAATTGCATTCAATATGTCCACCATCTGCATCAATAACGAGTTGTAGACGCTTAGAGAAAGCCTTACACGAGACACGAATGACACTCTGCGGGATTTTGGCTCACTCCTTCAGCAGTTTGACCTCTAGGGCATCGAAACTGCTATGGTGAACGGTCGAGACCTTGCTCTCAAGGTATGACCAGATGATAAAATCCAGAGGATTCAGATCGGGTGACGATGGGGTCCATTCATCTTTGGTAATGAAGTGGGGAACATTCTCGGACAGCCACTCCTGAGTCGATTTGGCCCCATGGGATGGTGCAGAGTCCTGCTGGAACGACCAGGGGCGTTTTTTGAAGTGCTTTTGTGCCCAGGGCAACAATGCACCAACAAGGATGGCATCTCGATAGTTCTTCTGATTCAATTTCACCCCTTTGTCAACAAAAAAGAGGGGACTCCTTGAGGACTCTGTTACGGCTGCCCAGACCATCACTGAGGTCGGGCATTGCTTCCTAGTCACCACACGGGATCCTTCGTCCCATTCTTCGACCAAATTCGATCATTTTGGGAGTTGAAGTGGTGTTCAACATTGAATATCTTCTCATCACTGAAAACGAGGTCTGGCAGAGTGCCATCATGAATGCGGGAAAGAAGAATCTTGGATCTTTGGAGGCGTTTGTCAACTACTTGAGTAGACAGTTGGTGTTTTTTGACATGCTTGAATGGGGACAACTAAAGGTCCTTCCGGAGAACAGTCGATATGGTTCCATACGACACATTTGACTGTTTTGCAAGTGTATTGATTTTGAAAAAACAATGTAACGCTAAATATTGATGACCCTGTATATGGTGGGGCAGCACTTTGTTTAATTACGGACGCTTCGCATATTACCACACTCTGGCGTACTCGGGCTCTGCTCACTGGCGTACTCGGGCTCTGCCTCCTGGCGTACTCGGGCGCTGCCCCCCCCCCCGGCGTACTCGGGCTCTGCTCACTGGCGTACTCGGGCTCTGCCCCCTGGCGTACTCGGGCTCTGCTCACTGGCGTACTCGGGCTCTGCCCTCCTGGCGTACTCGGGCTCTGCCACCCTGGCGTACTCGGTCTCTGCCCTCCTGGCGTACTCGAGCTCTGCCTCCTGGCGTATTCGGGCTCTGCCCCCCTGGCGTACTCGGGCTCTGCCCCCTGGCGTACTCGGGCTCTGCCCCCTGGCGTACTCGGGCTCTGCTCCACTGGCGTACTCGGGCTCTGCCCCCTGGCGTACTCGGGCTCTGCCCCCTGGCGTACTCGGGCTCTGTTCCCTGGCGTACTCGAGCTCTGCCCCCTGGCGTACTCGAGCTCTGCCCCCTGGCGTACTCGGGCTCTCTGCCCTGGTTGGAGCGCCGCGTGCTTCTCTGCCCTGGTTGTTATAGGCTGCCTTCTCATGAATGAAGGTTGCCTCCTTCTGAATGACTAATGTTGCTAATGATTTTTTATATTAATATCTCAACATAGTGTACCCCATTTTCTATGAAATAAGATGCGTAGGAGTGATTGCACACGACGGTGTTTAAATATAATGACACATCATGAGAGTCAGTTCAGGGTGAGCTTTGGAAGCATAGTTAAAAATTTGGATCCATTCTAAGTATTTTAAAATCTTATGACTTGAAGCGTGCGCAAAAGTTTTTTTGGTTTCATCATATTATGCCAATAAAACATTTACTAAGAAAACACCTGATGTTAACTGATGAGAGAAAATTTCTCTGAAACGCTTCTGAAGACAGGCACACTTGTTAGCACTCGCTTCTATCACGTCCGGATGTGCATTCGTCAACATCGATAAGTTTTCAATGGGAATTCTTACCATATAAATGGCTTCTCCATGTACATATCTCGGTTTCTTTAAATTCGTTACAGAATAAGAGAAAAAGAGAAAAGAAGTCAATGCGCTTGTTCAGTAATTTAAACACTATGCACTAATTCCAAAATTTCCCCTTAAGGGGAGATTAAAATGTTATACCTAGGCGAAATAGCCTGTTAGTTACAGATTAAAGATTATCGAGAGTTACTCAAAACCTTCAACTCGATAAGGTAAGCCCTCCTTCTTGCTTGAGCTTGCAATTAATAACAGGAAATTATTGTACCAGCTGGCTCGAACGACCTCGTCATTAATTAGCCGTCTGAGGGTGATTCAGTAATATACTTGTATTTTCTACCCAATCACCATATTTCACATAAGAGATGTAATACATGCAATGAATTCATGTAATACATCGTTGCTTCTTGTCAAAAATCATCAAGATTATAAGAGATATTATCACTTCTCCTTAACATAGCGTAATCCCTGGGGCAGATCCGGTAACGTCTGAGCGCAGGGCGCAGGAGATGCCATCCTTTCAGTCCGTGGTTTGCCGTTCATGCTGTTAGTACATCGGCTGTTGGCTATATTTAGTGACTAAAAGTGCGCACATGGGCTTATAAGCAGATACTTGAGATGAGTACAAAGGTATCCGAAATGCCTACGCGGAGAGGTCGTGAAATGGAAAGAGGACCTGATGGCTTATCGGCGGTGCATCGTAGAGGGAGGCGAGTCTGCCTCGTCCAGCAATGGCACTACTCAAGTGGTCATGAAATATTTGACTATTTTGGAAAGGACATCCCTCGTATAGTCCCAAAATTTATAATAATTTGTAAATTACTTATTCATTTCAATTAATCAATGCCATTATTTGGGAAATTATTTCAGCATTCAATTCTTCGGCTACAGAGAGCTAGGGCCAGTCAGGTCACCTTAAGCCAAGGCAGCGTAGTTTCTGCACCCTAAAATGTGAATGCTGCCAAAGCCCGAGGCATTGTCAACGCCACTTGGGCTGTGGATAAAAAGCGTGCTGCGTTCGTAGCCGGTGGATTTTACTTAATTAATCCGTGGACCTGCCGACAGAACAATAAATCCTAATACAATAACGAATAATAAACTAGTTCAACAAGATTTTGACAAAACGACTAATCACAATTACAAAGCAATATTGAAGCGTACAGCAATATACTAAATTATAAGTACATGATTATAGGGCCCGTGAACTGATCGTACCTTACGTTGATTTTGGAGGGGCTTAATTAAACGGAACCAAATTGCGATACTACGGACAAATTGGTCAGTCATCTGTCAAAGGCTGCTCTTACATTCCTGAAAGCTGACAAGTAAGATGCGCCGCTAAAGCACAGAGTCGATGGTTCTTGGCACAAATGCATTAATTAATTAATGTTTTTTCTTTAGAATATACCTATACTATATACAGGGTGTCCAAAAAAAAACGATACTCAACTTTGAATGGCTGTAACTCGAAAAGTAATAGAGTTAAACAATTTGGAAGGTTTGGATTTGTTCCCTATTTTTTTCTCCATCTAACCACCAAAAATCAGACAGATCGATGTAGCCATAAGCGTTTGATAGAACTTTCAGTGACATGTGCTAAAATTGTGCTTGCGCAAAGTTGTAGTAAGCTCATTTGGCATAATCATTACTTTGTCTTGACATGTTTTCTTTTCGCTGTTTGATTTTTAGTGCATTTTCTCATTTATGAAAAAATGCACTATTGTGCTCGCCATGTCCGTCCTTCCGTCTGTCCGTCCTTCCGTCTGTCCATCTGTCTGTCCGTCTGTCTGTCCGTCCATGACTTCATGTTTTCGTCGACGAGAAAATGCGCTCTCTGTCACTCACTGCAGTGAGTACTGAGTTCCATTTTTTGTATCTTTGGTGAGACAAAAACATGGCAATCTTTGGTGAGAGGCAATCATGAGATCTTTGGTGAGAGGCAATCATGATAATCTTTGGTGAGACACAATCAAGGCAATCTTTGGTGAGAGACAATCATGGCAAACTTTGGTGAGAGGCAATCATGACAATCTTTGGTGAGACACAATTATGACAATCTTTGGTGAGACACAATCATGGCAATCATTGGTGAGACACAATCATGGCAATCTTTGGTGAGAGACAATCATGGCAATCTTTGGTGAGAGAGAATTTCAAAACCAAAGATTGCCTCTCACCAAAGATTGCCATGTTTTTGTCTCACCAAAGATACAAAAAATGAAACTCAGTACTCACTGCAGTGAGTGACAGAGAACGCATTTTCTCGTCGACTAAAACATGAAGTCACGGACGGACGGACAGACGGACAGACAGACAGACGGGCAGAAGGACGGACGGACAGACGGATATGGGGAGCACAACAGTGCATTTTTTCATAAATGAGAAAATGCGCTAAAAATATAACAGCGAAAAGAAAACATGTCCAGACAACGTTATGATTATGCAAAAGGATCTTACTAAAACTTTGCGCAAGCACGATTTTAGCACATGTCACTGAAAGTTCTATCAAACGCTTATGGCTATATCGATCTGTCTGATTTTTTGTGGAGAGATGGAGAAAAACATAGGAAACAAATTCTGACCTTTCAAATTTTTGTAACTCCATTACTTTTCGAGTTACAGCCATTCAAAGTTGAGTATCGTTTTTTTGACACCCTGTATATTCTCATAGTATACATACCCACTAAATAGATAGTATGAGAATACTATACCTACTATTTGTACGATCCGACAAATAAATCTGAATTCGCTTGGTTTTGGAATTCAATTTGGACGCAATTACATTTCCGGACTGGGCGACCAAAAAGTGTTGATCAGAATGTTAAAATCGAACTCATTGAAACTAACTAACAAATAATGCAAATTATTCACCATTCAAGGTGCCAGTTACTTCTGAAATGCCACTCTCTTCTGAGCCACCACCTACTTCTGAGTCACCAGTCATCTCTCAGTCCAGCACCATCAAACCTCATCAGAATACGGTAGATAAATATAAATAAAAGGTGAAATATGTAAATATTATTTGAATGCTTTTGTTTGAAATATTTATAGAAAATTTTTCAATTAAATTTTTGAATTTATATGTCGTAAAATCCTCCTCCAATCACTAATTGTACTAGCGGCCATATATTTCCGATTTCACTCAGTTTTTTTATCGACTTTGTACTTAATTATTTTTTCCTGTCCGGTCGATCGAGAAGAATTTATCGAAATATTGAAATCCAAAACTTGAAATTCAACTAAAAGTTTGTCTCAATTATTCACTTTCCAGGAGTCGTTCACTCCCGCGGATTGTTTGGAGCGGCCGGAGAAGACATCGGGCGTGTACACCATCTACCCCAGCAGCGCTGCCGTCCAAGTTTACTGCGACCAGACGACGGACGGCGGCGGCTGGACGGTCTTCCTGCGGCGCCAGAAGCAGGAGCCTCAACTCAACTTCAGTCGAACCTTCAAGGAATACGAAGAAGGATTCGGCAGTCCCACTGGCGAACACTGGCTGGGTAACACTGGGCTCATGTTTACTAACGTTTATTGTGTAATTCGATGATGGGAAATTCTTCGTATGGACGATCAAATGCGATTTTTTATTGTGTATATTTTCGCTGTTATTGGAAAGTTTTAAGATATTCTATTTTAGCGTAACCGGCTCTGAATATGAACCTTAAGATTCTCGTTTCCAGAAATGCAGATGTTATTAATGCATACATAGATAACATAGCTGTCAAATTCTATTATACCGACTTCCACTGATCAGGCCTGGAGAACTTGCATCACCTGACGACCAGGAAGACGATGGAGATGCGTGCCGCGATCATCCGAGGATACAGTCCTGTTAACACCAGCAGCCGCTACCGGGACTTCAGGTGAGTCATGCCCGTGGTTGTAGCTTAGAGGAAGTGTTGGGGTACAGAGGAGTGTTGGGCACAGATGGAGTGTTGTGGTATAGAGTGTGCGTTGGGGTACAGAGTGAGTGCTGGGGTATAGAGGGAGTGTTGGGGTATAGAGGGAGTGTTGGGGTACAGAGGAGTGTTGGGTACAGATGGAGTGTTGTGGTATAGAGTGAGCGTTGGGGTACAGAGGGAGTGTTGGGGTACAGAGGGTGTGTTGGGGTACAGAGGGAGTGTTATGGTACAGAGGGAGTGTTGAGGTACAGAGAGAGTGTTGTGGTACAGAGGGACAGCACCAATGATTACACTCTTCCGAGCCCTCATGCTCCCCAATCTTGTCTTTATTGCTGCCAACTTTGGTCGCCACTCAAGACGGGTGCGGTGCGGAAACTAGAGGCAGTGCAGCGGACCTTCCCGTACAGAATCAGCGGCATGAGGGAGCTGAACTTGAACTACTGGGGCAGGCTGAAACACCTGGGACTGTAATCACTGGAGAGGAGAAGAGAGAGGTATCTCATACTGTACACTTGGAAGGTGATAACCGGACTGGCTCCCAACTTTGAGAGTGAGACCTCTAGAATAGTGAAACGTTACAATGAAAGGAGTGGGAGACAATGCGCGATTACCCCATTTAATTACCGAGCCGCGGCCAGAGTACAGACTCTTCGTGAGGGAGCACTGCCCGTGGTAGGACCGATGCATTTTAATGCCTTGCCTAAAGCGGTGATGAGATGTGGAGTTCACCCTTGAAAAATTCAAGAGACGACTGGCCAATTGGTTGAGAAAGATCCCGGATTGTCCAGTAATGAGAAACTACCCTCAGCAAGCGACAAGCAACAGCATCTTGCATCAGCTGGCCCAAACGAGGGCAAATAGACGGAACACGTCCAACGTTACATCCGGGACCCGAGGGCGGAGTGACCTGCCTAGCGACAACTCGGAGACGGAGGGCGACGAAGGCGGCACATAAGGACATAAGGAGTGTTGGGGTACAGAGGGAGTGTTGTGGTACAGAGGGAGTGTTAGGGCACAGAGGGAGTGTTGGGATGGGTACAGAGGAGTGTTAGGGTACACAGGGAATGTTGATTACGCAGGAAAATTGTCATTGGTAAATTTCACTCGCATTTAACAGTGATTTTAAATATATTAAAAGTTAGATTTACACGGAAAAAACCGTTAAGTTATCCAGATCAATGTTCTTCATAGGGCATTGTGCGTGTAATTTGATCCACCAGAGTGGACGGCGGCGATGAGTACACATTGAGGGTCGGCAGCTACGACGACAAGCGCAGCTCTGCCTCCGATGCCCTCACCTACCACAACGGCATGCAGTTCTCGACCATCGATCGTGATCGTGATCGAAACGGTAAGATCGAGCAAAGTTAGGCTGGATTATCTACGCATATCATAAACATTCAATAAATCATGAACATTCGCAGTATGCCCCATACTCTCGCACACCACTTCACACACTAGCACTACCGCGCGAGTGCAGCGCCACTGAAAAGACGAGATAGTAAGCAAGTAATTGTGAAGGTATCGGGTACTGTAATGATAGCAAGTGTATTGTGCATTGTGAAGGTCTCAGGTACTGGTAATGATCACTAGTGTATTGTGCATTGTGAAGGTATCAGGTACTCATAATTAAAGCAAGAGCAAAGGGCGACAATTTGCCGAACATTAACGTTTCATTGGTCACGGTCCAACAATGGATGCGCCAGCTTGCCGAACATTGACGGTTCATTGGTCACGGTCCAACAATGGTTGCGGCAGCTTGCGGAACATTAACGGTTCATTGGTCACGGTCCAACAATGATTGCGGCAGCTTGCCGAATATTAACGGTTCATTGGTCACGGTCCAACAATGGTTGCGGCAGCTTGCCGAACATTAAGGTTTCGTTGGTCACGGTCCAACAATGGTTGCGGCAGCTTGCCGATCATTAACGGTTCATTGATCACGGTCCAACAATAATTGCGACAGCTTGCCGAACGTTAACGGGCTTCGAACTGTCGTTGTTTCTACTGTCGGCTCATGAGGCTGCCATCTATTCTTGAGACAGTGAATAATCTCCTATCAATTGATTGTCTTCCAATCCGCTGGGTCTTAACTATAGATCCAGGTGTGTAGAGTTAAGGTGCACAACTTTCTATGGAACCATAATAGAGCGAATAATGGCTGATATGAGATGTGCCTGACATCGTTGTCAGTATGCCTTTTATACTCGTCATATGCAGACAGCTGAACCTCGTTCACGCTTGCCAGTATACGTTCTGTGTTACACTGTGTTTCACTGCCAGCGGTGCGCTGTCTGGTTACCTGTACACCAGGCAACGCAATTTCGTGAATTACTCAATAGAAAACAAATAATTCACAAAAATATAATAATAAATGAACTTACCACTAATGAACAAAAGTACCTAACCTAACATATTATCGGGCCGACTTTTGAATGACAGCTACTTAATCATGACGTCCATATTAGATTAACCGAATACAATCTACTTTGAATGGCAGCTACTTTATCGTGGCGTCCAGATTAGATTAACCGAATACAATTTCGATTTTTCAGACAAAAAATGTTCGGGACTGTACGGTGGCGGTGGCTGGTGGTACAACTCCTGCTATAGAGTTCACCCTACAGGCTTGTACGCACGCAACCGACCTGCCAACGAGATGTGGAGCGAATCTAGCACTTCACAGTTTGTGGCCTGGGGAATTTTCATGAGAGGGCACATCTCGCAACTCACCCTCATGATCAGACCAAGGAGCTAAATGACAAACGAAATGTAGGACATGATTATGACTCTGGACATGCAGGCCATGCTCTGGGAAATACAGGACACGCTCTCAGAGGTGTAGAACATGCTCTGTGACATCTAATAAATATTCTATGATATGTTGGACATGCTCCTGGACATACAGAACATGCTCTAAGGAATGTAAGAAATATTGTACTATATGTTGGGCATTCTTTTGGAAAATTGAATGAGCAAGAAATATCTCCCAAACAAATGAACGAATTCGATGAAACTTGGTACATGTATTCAATAGGACCTAGCGGTGATGTTGTCTCGTGAAATTTTTTGAAATTGCTTTCATTCGTGAGTTACATTACAGAGTCAAGATTATGCCTGAAGGAGTCAAAAAGTCCCAGTGAATGAACAGTACAGTAAAAGCTCAGCTAAAGACCAAGAAAGAAGCCTACAAGCTTTATTTACGAACTCGCAGCGATTCTGATTATAACCTGTATGCAAGAGCTCGAAATCAAACTAAAAAAGTCTGTCGCACTGCAGTAAAAAACTTCGAAAAAATATTGCTAAAATGCAAAAAAGAATCCGAAAGCCTTCTTTTTGTACGCTAGTTTGAAGTGTAAGTCAAAGGACGGTATATCTGATTTGAAAGTAGACCAACGAAAGATTTCCTCTGATGAGGGAAAGGCTAACGTTCTTAATCAGTTCTTCAGCAGTGTGTTCACAGATGAGGACTTGAACAGTATTCCAGATATTGAGGAGCACCCAACCGGCTCGAAGTTATCAAGTTTTGAAATACACGAATAAGAGGTTCTAAAGCGCCTGGAAGCTCTAAATCCCAACAAGTCATGTGGACCAGACGGCTTCCATCCCAGATTGCTCAAAGAATTAGCAACCGCTCTGGCTGGCCTATTGACAGTATTCTGTCAAAAAAACTTGAACGAAGGAACTTTGCCGTCCGACTGGAAAGAAACTCAAGTAACACCATTGTTCAAAAAAAGTGACAAAAGCAGCCCCGGAAACTATCGCCCTGTCAGTCTGACAAGTGTTGTTTCTAAGCTAAAGGGATCTGTTGTGAGGGATAGGATTATCGATCACTTGACTGTTCACCATCTCCTATCAGATTGTCAACACGGTTTTATTGCCGGTAGATCCTGTACCACTAACTTATTATCTACGTTGATCGGTTGGACTCGCCTGCTGGACGAAAGGGAGCCAGTGGATGCATTGTACCTCGATTTTGCTAAAGCATTTGACAGTGTTCCGCATGAGCGGCTGTTATGTTAAGTGAAGTCTTTGGGAATTGAGGGAAACGTAATCCAATGGATCAGAGATTTTCTAGTAGGTAGACGACAACGTGTCAGCATTAACGGAACCGTGTCAGACTGGGCATCAGTGCGCAGTGGCGTACCACAAGGAAGCGTCCTGGGGCCTATTTTGTTCGTTGCGTTAAGAAACGATCTGCCAGAAGCCGTGTCCAGCGTGTGCTCCATGTCTGGCGACGACACAAAAGTTTATAATACAATGAAGAATGCGTCAAATAAAGCGCAATTGCGAGATGATATTGACAGTTTAGTTAACTGGGCTGACACGTGGCAGCTGCGGTTTAATGCTGACAAGTGTAAAGTACTTCACCTCGGGAAGAACAATGAACAGCAAGATTACAGTATGAGAAGACATGGTTGCAACGAGAGAGTAATGATTGAAAAGTCTAGTGTGGAAAAAGATCTCGGAGTTTATGTCGACAGGGAGCTGAAATTTTCTAAGCATGTTGAAACGCAAGCTAACAAATTGAACAAACTTCTTGGACTAATCAGACGATCATACAAGTTCCTAGATGCAGAAGCGATGAAACAGTTGTTTGTTGCTGTCGTGCGCCCGAATCTAGAGTTTGGAAACGCTGTGTGGTCACCGAGATTTGAAAAGGACAAAATATTATTAAAGAATGTTCAAAGACGTGCAACAAGGATAATTCTAGTCTTGAAGAGCAAGTCCTGTGAAGAAAGATTAAAGATTATGAAGCTTCCAAGCCTCAGTTATCGACGTCTGCGTGGGGTCCTCATTGATGTATACAAGTATACTCATGGCTTATACAAGGTCCCAGAAAAATTACTAGAATTTGAAACAAGAACCAACTCCAGGGGGCCACGACTATAAATTAAAAAAACTACGCTGCAACTTATCCACGCGACAACATTTCTTCTTGCTTCGAATCACCGACATGTGGAACAGACTCCCCGATGACGTCGTTGGCGCTCCGAGTATGAACGCGTTCAAGAACAGACTAGATGAAGCTATGGAAAAATATATGTTCAGACTTGAAATGCCTAGCACCATATCTAACCCGGTTGAAGTCTAGTAGCTACTTCAAACTATCGCCAGTGGTCAAATGACACGATTTTAGATCTTCTGTGAACAAGTCACGAAAAGTATAAGAATCGGCGACAGGCCACATCAGACCTATACTTCAGCGCCGTCATCCCTATGCTATGCTATATGGTGCCGCAATTCGAAATATGCTATGCTATATAAGGGCCGAAATTCGTAGTGATTAAGGAATTTCTTCTAAACTACTGAACAGATTTGAACGAAAATTTAATTATACATTCCTAACTAATGAGCGATAATATTTAGCGCGTGAAAATTTTCTCGATTTTGCCTTCGTTCGCGATTTTTTTTTCCATTTCACCTACATGTATGATTCGATCAGCAGTATGTGCTTCGATTCGCAGTGATCAAGAAATTTCTTCTAAACTACTGAACATATTTGAACGAAACTTAGTAGATAAATACCTAACCTCAGCAACGGTGATGTTTAGCTTATGAATTTTTTTTTTCGATGATGTCTTCGTTTGCCAGTTATACAGCTGTACGTATAGCGCTCTTGGTTAAACCGGCCAGTCGAAGTGCCGGACGTTTCTCCGTATATCCGGATAACTTGCGAACGAAGGCAAGATAGAATAAAGATGTCACGACCTAAACATCACCGTTGGGAGGTTATGTATATATAAATATATATTAGATGGCAGGATTTACTTCTTTACACACGTGCGATCGATGACCAGAGAATTCATTTATTTATATTATCAGTGAGTGGAACTTTTCTTCAGATGACGGTATATTAAAAGGCAAGTTTCAGAAAGTAATTCTTATTTATTAACGACGTTTCGAATGCAACAAACATTCATTTTCAAGTTAAAAGAAGCATTAAATATTGAAATTTTGGTGAAAATTAGCACATAATATAAGTAAATATTATCTAATATTATTTAATGCTTCTTCTAACTTGAAAATGAATGTTTGTTGCATTCGAAACGTCGTTAATAAATAAGAATTACTTCCTGAAACTTGCCTTTTAATCTACCGTCATCTGAAGAAAAGTTCCACTCACTGATAATATAAATCAACGAATTCTCTGGTCATCGATCGCACGTGTGTAAAAAAAATATATATATATATAGTTTCGTTCAAATCTGTTTCATTTTAAGAGACAAATTACCCGGCGATACGAGCCGAATAATGAAGTGTGAAATCATGTATGACGGTGAAATGAAAAAACGCGCAAACGAAGGCCAAATAAAAAAATGTCATGAGCTAAAAATCACCGTATGGTAGTTATGAATGTATATTCGAAATTTTGTTCGAATCTGTTCAGTAGTCATATATCGTCATATAACTCACGATTGAATGTGAAATTTAAAACTTTTTTTTGCCAAACATCACCATTAGGTCCTAGTGACTACGTGTTCAAGTTTCATCGAGCTGCGTTCATTAGTTTGGGCGATATTCCATGATAATTGAATTAGGAGATTGGCCACGAGACCGGCAACGAGACCGGCCACGAGTCCGGCTGTAAATTTTTCCAAGACGTCCTGGGTTTTACTAAATGAGGTTCTATTAGCGAAATACAGATTTGTGTTTAACCTATATCTTTTAAAATTGCAGTGTACTAAAGGTCAAGAAAGAGGCGTTCGTTTTCGTATATATGCGTCTGTGTGGGGAGGGGGGGGGGCTAGAAATTCACTGGAGAGCCATAAGGGGCGCCCGCTTGAAAAGTTAGTGAAACACTGCTTTATGACATGTAGAACATGCTGTAAGACATCTAGGAAATGCTCGTGTCCAAGTAGTGCGTGATCTAGGACATGTATGGTCTGATCGTGGACATGTAGGAAATATTATAGGACATGTAGGATATGCTCTATGACATGTAGGACATTTTCTATGACACGGCTGACATATTAGACACGACATATTAGACACGATGGACAGTAAAGACAGGTTTTCGGAGGTTACGGGAATGATACCTTATACTGATACTTGATGATAATGGTACTTGATACTTCAAAGCATAAAAATTTTGTAATTTTGCAATGTATTTTATAAAATTATAGCAACCTGGGTTAAAGGCTAATGTGGTTGACACATTTTGGATGAATTATTTTTTATAAATATGCAGAATCGCTTTGATTGGTTGGAAAGTCGAAAAATAGTAAAGATACTAGAAGGATTTGATACTTTGTAAAATAAGCAGAATAGATTTGAGATTAGATTCAACAGCTGCGCAAGTTTAGTAGGAAAATGAACCACAATCAAGGCACAGAATATTTTTATTTGCCTGTCAGATATCTCGGAAAGGTAGACTCCGACCCAGACTCCTCCAAGGCATCTTCCTCATTAGCGCCAATCCCCGTCTATAGGCAGGTACTGAATTTCGGTAAGATGAGAAATAATAGAACAACGAAAACTATGAAACTTTTATTGAACACGAAGTGAAAGAACAGAGGCCAGTTATAACTGCATGATGAATCTAGTAGTTATTCACACAGCAGGAAATATGACGGGTAACAGGACAGACCAAAAAAATAGCAATAGTGTAACAATATTCGAATTAAAAAAAGAGTCATTGTTACAAAAATTTGCCTCTCAGACTCTCCCTCTCAAATCTCACCGTGAAAACGTGGTCACTGGGCAACAGTAGATAGTGTTTGAGGTATATGTAAATAACAAGCTGCAGATTAAGTTTATAATGATGTAAGCCGTTGGGTTTGGAGACCAGGTTGAACGTTGCGGCTGATTGGTAAATTTTCATCTTGCAAGTAAATATTCTCAGTTTAAGAAACCTTTCTAATTCATTCAAGTTTTAACTCAATATACAGGAGTTGGAGAAGTAAGGAAAACACCTCACGTTTTTATATCGCTATTTTTTAACATGTTATAAACAATAGAAACGTGAGATATTTTTATGTTTTATTGTTTATTGTTGCTGCTAATTGATATTTTTTGCTTGCACAGATATTTCTAAATAAATTTTTGTGTCTATAACCCAACTTATAACCTATTAAACGCAAACCTCTCTGACTTTCAAAGAGGCAAAATTGTTGGTGCCC